GCAGAAAGAGTTCTTTTTTAATGTCAAATTTTTATTGAATTGTTAATAAATAATTTTGAGACAAACATTTAATGAATTTTTGCTGAATAGTTATTGAATTATTTGATGAATTGGTAATAAATTTTTTGACAATTTATTGTTAAACTTTTAATTAATAAATTTTTTATTGCTGAATTTTTTGATTGTCAAATTTTTGATTACTGAATTTTTGATTGCTGAATTTTTGGTTGACAAATTTTTGATTGCTGAATTTTTATTGTTACTTTATTGCCAAAATAGTAATATGCTGAGTAATAGCAATTGAAAAGAATTCAACAATATTTTTATTATTAAATTTAATCAAATTTGACAATAATTCAGCTACTAAATAACATAATTTTAACTAGTGTATATATACAGAATATAAAAAAATACAAGAAAAAATTGCTTATTATTTTATTGAAAGATATTATAAAAATATTAATAATATATATACTACACAATTCTTTTTTGACTACACAAAATTAATAAGGAAAAAAAATCTTGATTATATTGTTCTCTTTAATGGCACTGGGATATATGATGAACTAGTTAACATTACTTGATGATATACAAAAAAATAATATGATGTTATTGATATACTTGATAAAAATTTATAAGGTGAAGAATTTATTATTATTAATTTAACTAGAGCAAAAGAAAATCCTCTATATATTTGCAAAAAATGGGACCAATATTTTAATTTTTCTAATAAGTAGGCTTGAAAAGTCATTGTTTTGTAATAGAATGTAATTTATAATAGTGAATAATAATAATTTTTTTTTTTTTTATCCTTTGTCAGGTTAATTATATGTGCTTTATTAAATATTAATATACTATACATATAAAATAATTACTAAAGCTAAATCTCTAATTAGCTCACTTGTCTTGATTATTATTACTCTAAGTGCAACTTCAGGAGTGATCCATCACTTCATTAGTAGTTCAGATGAAAACCCTTCCAACTACTAATTTCATTGTCTGCAGATTACTACTATAGATTCTTCTTATTAGTTCTGACAAAAGTTAAAACCCTAACTATCTTATTCTATACTTTATTCCTTCTAAGAAGGTTTGTTTTAAACCTTCATCTTCAAGTTTTTCTTCTTTCTATAAAAATCTTTTTATAGTTATAATCTTGTTGTTCTGGTTTGATAGACTGGATGATCTTCTTAATTTGTCTTTTCTATAGATTTCCTGTACTTATTTTCACTTGATTATTCTTGAGCACTTTTCATTCCAGGTTTTTTTTCAGAATTGATTACAAATCTTCTTCTGTATTTTCACTATTCACTTTTGAGCTTCTTTACCTATTTTTTTTTTGGCAATATCATAGGTTTAATATTTTTAATATCTGATCATTTTGTATTAGTTCTATGCAAAAGTTTAGTGTATTCTGACCTATTTCTATAGTCTCTTCTATAAGTCTGGCTATATATTTGTCCAATCTTCTAATTCTATTCTGTCTTTAACTATAAGCCTTATTTCTTTATTTTCTATCTCTTTTTTTCTTTTATGCAAAAGTTTTTGAAAGTCTTTTATAATGCCTTCAACTCCTTTGTTTCAAATTTCCTACTATTGGACTTTATATACTGAGCCTTCTAGTAGATGTTCTATTGTTTCTACTTGCTGTTTGTATGCTATACACTCTACTTGTTTATATAGATCTAGTCTTCTTATGATCAATTTGAGAAGCATTGGTAACTTTTTATTGATTAATTTGACAAGAAAGTTTCTTTCTTGAGAATCTTTAAAAGAAGTATCCCAAGTATGTTCATTCTTTATTATTTCCCATATCAAATTCCATGTATGGTCATATTGATCTCAAATCTGTTGATTCCATTTGTTCAAAATCCTGTTTTGTTTAGTCCATTGATGAGCTGTAACTTTGTTTAATAAACTGTCTAATGGAATTATTTAAAGTCATTTCATGCTATTTGATTTTAGTAATAATTTTAGATAAAGTAAGATTCTTTAATTCAATCATAGAAAGCATTAAGGCTTCCTTTACTAGAGTATCTGCTTCTTCATTGTATAGATCATTAGAGTTTGCTTTGATCATAATAATTATTTTTTCCATTGTTTATTAATGCAATAATATAATATATATTTTATTAGTCACTTCTATTAAGAATTTGTCTGTATCTAACTGTGATTGAAATTTAAGTAGATGTGTGATAATAATAAGCACAATCTATTATCAACACTAGGGATTTTTGTGTCAGTGAAAATGGGTTGATATATAAAAATCAAAATAAAAAATGTTATCAGTTTTTCTTTAGGAAAGATAACAAAATAAAGTTTAAAGTACTATGCTCCTATTTCTAAAAGTTGCTTTTGGAATCTAACCTGCAATTGACTCTTTTTAGAACTTATCCAATTAACTGGAATATAATATTCTTTAAATGTTTTAATCTCATATTCAATATGAAATGGTAATCTGTTATATTTTTTTCTATATTCAGCAAATTCTTCAGTATAACGTAATTTTAATTGATTTAAAGATACAGGATTTTTCACTTTGTAAGGGGTCATACCTAAAAATTTCTCATCAGAAGTATTATCATTTCTTAACGAATTCCAAGCTCGAGTGGCTAATGATTCAGGTCTATTCTTGTAATTTCTCCAAGCTCTTTGTATAATCCTTGCTTTTCCGAAATCAGTCTTTGGTTTGTCGCATTCATTATCCCAATGACCGATCATCAAATCACTAGGTACGAGATAATCAACATATCTTTGTTTAGTAAAATGGAATGTTTTTTTGGGCTGTACATCATTGATTTTTATGAGTTTCCAGCAACCAAAACAAATAGCCATATGACTTTTATGGATTCTTGGTCTATAATAATTGAAATTGACAAATCTACCTTTACCAAATGATACGAATAAACATAGCCGGTGATATACACTAAACTTCCCGGTATTTAATAAATTCTGTAAAGGTACTCTGACCCGTATTGCCCATTTAACCGGTGTTTCATTCTGTTTTATGATAGATAATGTATCAAATAATCTCTCGTTATCGAAAATTTGATTGAGTTCATTAGCATAAGTTCCGCCATAATGTAATATACTGTATATGATACAGCATACTTCATATCAAAACCAGGACGATTAATATATGGTTTAGGAAGTGTTTTATCTTTTTTATCAATGATAGTAGCGATATCAAAACCAGACATATTTATTTATCGATTAGGATATTTAGACCTATTAGATTTAATTAACTATATACTAAGAATATAGCGATTCATTTTTTTTGTGAGATACTCAATATTAATACCCAACTATATCACATCCGGTAATGGATCTTCAGCCTTTAAACCACGTCGGGCACACGACAAATATAAAAGAAAATAGATGCTGGTGGGATTTGAATTTGATTTGATTATTCAGACCTCGTGCATCGTTTAGATCTTGTCGTAAGATTGCAGGAACAACCAAGCCATGGGAATTTCTTTCGATCCGATTCTCGTGAACTTTATAAACTTCAACAAAATTTCGCTAATGGTGGAAGAACATATTATGGATGAAATATACGACACTGTGCCGAATCCCTCGAGTTATGGAAAAATTCCCATGGAGGAAAGCATAGTTCGCCTCCCTCAAAATCACTCAACGCCTCTAGACAACACAAAAAATTCGGTTCATCGTGTTCATCCCAGTGAAAATCACTTCTCGTGTTGAAATTTGTCGCAATCGCCGGGAAGACCGAATGAGAAAAATTATCAAGTCTTTAGCGCGTAAATCTAAATCAATTTTTTTTTTTTTTTTTGCAATGAAAAAATTTTTTCGCCATATTAATCATATTAATGAAAAGACCCGTAAAGGTGAACATAAACAAATCCACACTGACACATTTGGACACTCATTTTCTTGTCGGCCATTTTAGTTAACTCTATATCAATTTCCCTTAATAGAAATGGAAAAGTAAAATGAAGTCTACATCAGAAAAATTTTGAATTATTAAGATAATAAAGTATATTGCATACTGTACATCGTATACCGCGTTTTAATTATCAAGGAAAATGCATAACTTTTATCGAAAGAACTCATTCGATAATAAAAAAATTTCTCGGGATTAGATACTGTAATCCCTGGGAAAATAGAATTTTCATTCAAGTTGACGAGTGCACTTTATTTTGGCACCTGATTGATTTTAAATCGAGTATTTTAAGTATGAACACTTTAATTAAATAATCCAACGAAATGGCTCACATTTATTAAATGTAATATTTTTTATGTTCATGTTTATTTATCGTTTATTTTATTTTACTTTATTAATTTTTTTATATTTTATATTTTATTTATTTTTTTTTTATTTTCTCTTATCGTGCAAATGCTTGCAAAAGAATCATGTTTGAAGTCAAGTTAAAATATATACTGTATACTGTATATTCAAATGACGGAAAGAAATGTGTCCCCGGTAATCTCTCTTATAACGTTTTAGATTTAATATTGGCTATCAACCTTATCCCCAGCAATAATGTAATATTCTCTATTCTCTCCGTTTTCTTCTTCCTCCCCTTCATCTCCATTTTTTCCTTCGTTATCTTCCTTCCCTTCATCATCTCCATTTTTTCCTTCGTTATCCTCGTCTTTACCCTCATCATCTTTTTCTTCTTTCTCTCGTTCTCTAAGCAAGATTTCAACAACATGACCAATTCTTCCGTTAAATATTTTCAATAATTTCTCATAATGAGAGTTATTTTCGGGGTCGAAACCCATCGAGTTTAGAAGAGCAACTTTCTCTGCAAGTTCTTCAGGAGAAAGCGGCTTATGATGACGGAAAGGACGCCTTCGGAGTACCCCATGTCTATGCCCAGGTACATGACGATGCAAGCGCGGCCCCATTCTGCTTAATTTATGACTTTCTCGAGGTTCAAAACCAGCACCAATATTTCCAAAAACTTCACTTAAATGATGTGCGCGCCTGCCATGTTTAAACCTGCGATCATCCGGACGACACCCGAAACTTTTACTTAAGTGGTTTGGTCCGAATTCCGGCTTGGATTCGTGCCCACGGCATTCAAACCTACGACCACCACGATGATGTCTAAAACTTTTACCTGAATAATCTGATCCAGATCCGTGTCTACGATGTTCAAATCTATGACCACGAAGACGATTTTCGTGCCCATAATTTTCGGAATGGTCAGAGAGATTTTCCAATTCCCTCTCAAATCTACCGCGGGGACCATGTTCATATTTATTTCTGCGTCCATGCTCGTGCGTTTTAAACGAAGGGGGCCCACCATGATGTCTATGTTTACGGGGGAATTCTTTTACACCTTCTCTAACTTCAAATCTCCCGCGAAGGTCATGTAATTTACCACGAGCTCCGTTACCATTCATTCGAGACTGAAGATCCTCGTGAGGACTGCATTCACGATTTCCAGGTTTTCCACGATGGAATTGCTTTTCATTTTGTTCAGTCCTAAATTTACCACGAGGACCGAATCCATGAGGGTGTTTCCGAGGAATATGATCAAGTTCTTCGGTTTCAAATCTACCGTGAGAACCACCTCGAGGCCTATGTCTGCGCTCCCGAGGATCATGAAAGGGCAAACGAATATTATCATCAATCTTAAGTTCACTACGGGGACCACCTCGAGGTCTATCTCCACGTTCACGGGGGCCAAAACCATGAGAATGACGACTAGGTTTTCCATGGTGTCTTGGTTTACGATGAAATTCTGCCTCCGAATCAGATTCTAAGGTAGGTCCGCGCCTTTCATGCGGACCGGGGCCAAACCTACGAGGACCATAACCGCGTTCGCCATCAAATTCTTTTTTTGGATTATGCACGAAATGAGGTCCATGTCTAAATTCCCGAGTGTGAGGAGGACCATGGTGCGCATCTCTTCTCTCAACTCTATCGTGAGGTCTTTCGTGTGGATCAACTCTATGTGGCCCTCCATGAAGGAAACCGAAACCTTTAGGACCACGAGGACTAAATGGCCCAAATAAACCAATCCTTCGTCCTCCACGAGGATCATGCATTCTTCTTCCGTGAGAAATCAATAAATAAATTTCCTGTTCAGATCCATCCTCACTTTTCGCATCTTGCTTACTGGTAGTTTGTTCCGCCATACTATCAAAACGAACACTCTTTTCTGTGAATGATTCGTCGAATTCGCTATTATTCAATTGTGTTGTTCCCATAATCTTTGCCAAATGTTTAATATATGAATCTTTTTTTCTTCCTTCCTTGGCGAATGATTTTCAAGTCTTTGGGGGAGAAATCTGAATTTTTTCGACTTTTGAAGCACAGCCTTTTATACAATTTTCTTATTCGGCATCGGAAAAATTTTTCGGAACTCGGATAAATTATGGATAATTTTACATCCGTGTTCCAATTGCCGAGATTTCGTTTTTATCAACAAAAATAATGTTATGTTCATCTTTCCGAGATTTAGCCGGAAAGCCAATTTTATTGCGTCACATGCATTAACTTTATATATCATACAAAGAATAATCTATTTGTAAATAGAAGTTGTCTAACTTCTTGTATAATTCCCCATAATATTCCCGGACGAACTCATTAACAGAGATTGACAACGGTCCCAAATCACGAAGTAACGAATCGACACATTCTTGATGCTCGATGTTGTGGACACTTGCATTACTGTAATTATCGGAAAAGAATAAACTGATCGATTATCAGTGATCACCGTGATTGACGTGTTTATTTGGTATGTTGATCCGAAAATATATTTTTTTAATCATGCTACCCCAGTCGAAAACTGGACATGTGTTAATGTAGCGGAATATTATCGTTCTAAAGTAGAGAAAAAGGACTTTAAAGAGGTGTTGGATCGTGTAAGAAAGATCTTCAGAAGGTTGCAAATTCTAATTCCGATTTTGATACAACCCGCAAAAGAAAAGCACAGGTAATCATCGATAACTGGAGGGTATACGTTTTGTTCGGTTAGATACTTGAGCTAGTTAAGAGATTAGTCCATACAGTGATGAACTGTTAGTTCGACGCTTAGCGCAAGCTGGGACTGTTAGTCTACCAGTGATGAATTGCTAGTTCGACGCTAGTGCAAGCTGGGACTGTTAGTCTACGGGGACGATCTCTTGACACTTCCGTTTATGTCTTTATTGAAAAATATTATCTTACAAATATTACTAATTTGTACTTTTTTTGTCAAGGAATGGACTATTTCGATGAAGAACCTGAAAAAAGATTTGCGAATCAATATTCAGGTAGGATAATAATCCAAAAGTTTATGCAAGATAAAAAAAACATTGAATCACGTTTTTTTTTCAATTAGGTAGAACAACAGATACTTGCGTCTGGCTATGCAAATCAGAACATTGGTACCATAAACAGCCGCTGTACAACTCTTGGAAAACGTCAAAATGATGGTCCCGAAGGAACTCCCAAAGAAAAACGCCAAGATACAGTTGATAGAAAAACTATAAATTAGTCTGTTGAAACCACTGATTACCAGGAAAGCGACACACGAGCGATTAGTACCAAACAAAATTTAGATGAACAAGTTGAGGTAGATTTCTATACACGATAAATCATGTATTAGAAACTCTTGGGATAAAAATCAGAAAACTTAATTATTGTTTCTGTTTAATAATACTCTTAGGTTGATGACCCCAAGGAAAAAAGATCATTAAAGAGAAATTGCCAGGACACTGATGACAGACATACTGCACCACCGCTACATTCGAGTGTAACTGAATCTGTGGAAATTATCGATGACTCAGAAAATATACTGTAGATCAGGGTGAAGAAGAAATTGGAAGGCTCACACAAGTATTTAAGGATCGAACAAATTACTCCAGATGCAAAGAATCATAAATTCGATGGATTATATAAAGTTATTAGCACAAGAGGCAAAGGTCAAACTATTCTTATTGTTGAATTTTCACGTGGAAGAACAACTCCCATGTCCAAGAGAGATGGTGATCGCTTAAGCTTTGTCGAAACGCTATGAGAACTTTAAATGTATTATTTGGAAAGGTACCCAAGGAGCGTGCACGCATCTACTTAGTGCAGTCATTTAGTAAGTGATTATAATTGGAAGTTAGATCGTACAAGATTACTTTTTTGACATATGTTCTTTATAGACTGGTTTGTTGAAATTAAGTATTTAGTTCGACCACTGCCAACAATTTATATGTTACAACATTTTGGGCGCGTCAAAATACCTGCCACTTTTGGTGATTTCGAACAGTTTTCAAAAGACATGATATGCTTGATGGATTGGCAGGTAGAGTACTTTAAAATACTTGTCGATAACGATATCAAATAAATAACAATAATTGGTTTTTTACAGACAGATGTCTTGTCAACGGCTAGAGCAATAAATAAAGCAAACACAAATGACATGGAAGATAATAATATTTATATAACTTCGGTAAATGATACTCCGCAAAAGAAAAAAAGGAATGAAGATCAACCTTTACCTAGATCCCATCTTCCGATTCCTGGGTCGCGATTTGATGCGTCATCTGAATTCATCAGTTCATGAAAAAACGGATTTAAACGATTTAGAAAGTACTCTATTTAGATCAAAAATATTCAAGAAAATGATCATTCAAAAATTTTTATAATCACGATTTGTAAAATTTTCATTGAATTTTTGACGACGGCCCGTCGCCGAAAATTTTGCTACTTTAGTTTTGCATTTTAAATAAATAAACTAACTTTATTGATAATAGTTGTATATTTCAACGTTATTTTTTACGCTACATTACTATGTAAAAGGCCGGCCTGTAAAATTATTCGTGGAGTAAGCCGGGATCCTAGTCCCCTTCACATTGTAAAGTAATGGCTATTCCTTTCCCTACTCCGTACTACTAGCTAAGTTATTTTTAATCTCTATCCAAGAACCTATTTTTTTTTAAATCACTATCATTGTAATAAAATTTTTTTACTGTCTCTTTCCCACCCTAAGACATTGAATTTCAACAGATATATCGTCTAAAGAATAATTGTTTTCTATCGAAAATAATTTTGAATTGAATTCGGGGAGTTGGATGTAAGTACGGTTTGTTCAGAAAATTGTTCGAAGCTTAATGAGGCCATGGAACCAGTCTCAGTTATTTGATCCAACTGATCACGAAAAGATTCATAATTGGCATGTTTATTATAGAAATATCTTCTAGCCTAAATACTTATATCGAAAAAAAAAAGATTTAACAATTCAGTACTACATACCTCATCATTGAATGCTTTAATGTATTACCAGATATGATAACAATATGGCATTACGTGCCTCATATTTGGACAATATTCGAATAAATTATGCAAAGATAACAATTGCTAACAATTTGGCACTATGTGCTTTATCCTTAATCAGCCAGAATATGAATACTATTTCAGAATTATGTATTAGGTTAAGCATAGCCTTCACATCAATCCTACAAATGACAATATATAATTAGATGTATCATCAGATATATTTTTTTTATCCATGTGAGCCAATGACGAAAATCAGATATGGTTACCAAACTAGCATACAATAGTTGATATATGACCTGACGACAAAAATTAGCCACAGTCATCATTCAAGTGAAATGAAAAATAGAAATCACACGTCAAGCCACAACACATACCTTGGTGACTCTCAAATAATGATACCTGATAAGTAGATTATAAACATCCCATCTTTGACAAGGCAAATGCAAAATGCATATTACTCGAATGATGATATTTGAAGTCTGTATAGATTCCAAATATCTCACTAAAGTTGCTACTATCCATTTTTACTTATTTACAAACTCCTTTAAACAAAAACTTAAGTCTCTGATGGTTTAAATATTCTCAATAACATACTTTTTCTATTAAAGGTAAAAAAGTTCTAGGAAGTAAAAGAACTAATTTATAAAGTATTATCTTTTATAACTGAGTAATATAAAGATATAGGTTTTGAAGACAGAAGAAGTCTTACTATTAAGAAATTCTATCTATTTCACTTGATCTTGAATTTTTGATAGTATAATATTATCTGACATCTGATTGGTTAACATGAAATATATTGATAACAAAATATAAACAAACTTCTATTAATTATATTTATATATTCTGATAATATTATTGATAAAAAAGAAAACTATTAATATAAACTTCTCTATTCCTTTTAATTAAGTGTAACTGAAGTAAAAAAACTATAAGACAATTAAAATAAATACTGAATTTTTTAGATGATAAAAAAATAATTATTTGTTTAAACTAAAACGTTTAACTTCTTATTATTCTAGTTAGGCAAAATATATAAAGGAATTGTTTACTTATTTCAATTAGACTATAAAATTAAAAGGTAAAGATTATAAGTTACTACTCTTTTCTAGGATTGAGAACACATTTCTTTAAATATTGTATAATAATATTATAATTGATAAAGATTTCTAATATCTATAAATTCTTTTATTATTTCAAGGCAAAAAAAGTATTGAAGAATTTGACTTTTAATTAAAACTTTGAATTTGAGTAAATAATAAGTATCTCAGATAATTATAAAAAAATAATCAAGATTATAAATAAATAAGTTTTTCAAATAATCAAGAAAAAGAAAAATATCCTAGAAAATTATTTTCAATAAGAAAATCTTTTTAATAAAAGTTTTTTAGAAAACATGAAGTAATTTTATTTTTATTTTTCTTTTTCTTTTCATTTTTTTTTTTTTTTATCCTCTGTCAGATTAGTTATATATGTTTTATTAAATATTTGTAAGCTGTACATATAAAATGGGGTGCTAAAATTAATTTTCTAACTAACTTACTCATCTTGATTATACTATCTCTTTAAGTACAACTTCAGAAATAATTTATTACTTCATTAGTAGTTCAGGTAAAGATTTTTTTAACTTCTAACATCATTGCTTATAGGTCACTACTGCAAATCACCCATTCGAGTTCTAACAGAAATCAAAATCCAACTACTTTTTACTATACTTTATATCATTTAATAAGATTTCTTCTAACTTTTTATTTTCAATTCTTTTCTCTTCATATATTGGTTTTTTAATAGATAGACTTTTTGTGCACTTGACCTTATTTTCTTAATTCTATGAATATATTGATTTTTTTATATTGTTACATTTATGGATTCCTGACTTCTGTTTCTATTCGATTACCTTTTTACATTTGGTATTCTATAATTTCTTTCAAAAATGATTATGTACTTTCTTCTGTATTTTTATTATTTATCTTCTTGCCTCTTTTCCAATTCTCTTACTGTAACATTTCAGATTAGCTATTCTTATAATTAAATCTTTTTCTATTAATCCCATATAGAAGCTGGATGTGTTCTGACTAGTTTTTAAGATTCTTTTCACCAGTTTCACTATCTATTCATCAATCTCTTCTATTTCCATCCTAATATCTATTATTAAGTTTAGCTCTTTCTCTTTTAATTCCCTTTTCCTATCTTTCAAGAGTTTTTTAAATTCTTTTAAATCTTCTTCTATTTCTTTTTGTCATGCCTTATTCAACTAAGTCTTATAAGTTGGATATTCTAACAAATATTCTATTGTTTTCTCTTCCTGATCACATATAATATATTTCACTTGCTTATAAATATTGAATCTTCTTATAACTACTGTAACTTAGTTAATATTAGTAGCTCATTATTTATCAACTTAATGAAAAAGCTTTTATCTTATAAACTCTTAAAGGAGTCATTCTATATATATCTATTCTTTAGATATTCTCATATTAGGTCTATATATATCTATGCTGGTCTTGAATTTGTTGGTTCTATCTTTTCTTGATTCTACCTTGAGTTGTCTATTGGTAAGTCATTACTTTTTTATTTGTGTTTTTAATAACTTGTCTTATAGAAGTATCCAACACTGTATTTTGCTATTTAATTTCTATAATAATTTTGGATAAAATAAGATTTTTTTATTTTAATACTGGAAACTTTACCATTTCTTTGGCAAGGATATCTGCTTCTTTATTGTACTAAATGTTGGAATGTGCCTTAACCTTGATAAGCTTGAGATCTGGCTTCTTTTTTTTTTTACAAAATCTAATATTCGTAACTACAGAGACCAGTTCTATTCTTTAATTATTTTTATGGATTAGAGTTCTCCTTTTCTATATTTTTTCACTTTGAGATGCAGGCTTGACTATCTATATAGATCTTAATCTTGCTATCTACCAGAGCTACTAGTAGAATAGTTACTATTGCTACTAATTCTGCCCTAGTAAATGAAAACCAATTAGCTACTTCAGTTTGAAACTTGCTTTCTCTTCCTACCTCTCATATCTATATCCATGCTATTTTTATTTTTATATTTGTACTTTTGTAATTTATTAAAAATCCATCAGAGTAAAAGGTTATTGATTCATTTCTTTTTTATTACATTTAAATATTTCAATTAAATAGGATTAAAAGCATCTTCTTCTATATAATCTTTGATAATATTTTTTTTTCAATTCTCTACTTCAACCTATAATACTCTTTCATTTAAAGTGGTTACTTGATTACTATATATTGTTCTATATATTATCTCTTCTAATGCTTTTTTGAAATTTGAAATTTTCAATAATTGAACTCTTTTAGTGAACTTTCTTAAGATAGGAAACTATATATATATATTTTATACTTGTTTCAATTATATACTATTTAACTATTATTGTATCTTTTGTGCATCCCTAATATCAAATTAGTTTTGATTCTTGATTTTAAAGAAATAATATATTTAAAGTATTCTATTTTAATATACCTTTTAATATTTTTTAGAATCAATTTTTCCTATATTACCTATTGCTATTAAAACTTGTTTTCTGTAATCACCCAGAGTTTCTATTGTTTGTCAAAATTTAAGTTGAGAGTAAAATGTTCTGGATCCCATTTTATCCATTTTTTTTCCAGGATTCTATAAGTTGTTTTAGTTTATTTCCTTGTATTATCATGATTGTAGATTAGTACTATCCTGGAATAGATTCTTTGCTTATTTTCTGTAAAAGTTGAAGCATTCACCAATTTCATATTTCTTTTGTTTTATAGTCAACTAGTTAATCTATATACATTAGCTTATTGTTTTTAAGTAATTAAGTTAGCCTTCTAATACTCTCCCATTAACAAGTATTCTTTGATTGAACTATTTTTCTGATTCTATTCAAAAAAGTCATTCTATTTCTAACTTTGAAAAGTGATACCTACAGTATATCCTTGGTTAGCTTCAATATTTGTAGCATAAAGTTATCCCCTTTTTGAAGATGATTTGGTGAGCCACAAGTAAGTAGATTGTTAGGCTTCCAGTATTTAACCTATACTTGCTTAAGTCTGATAATCATTATGATTTTGACTGGTCTTAAATCATTTAATCTATTGCCTAGTCCTATTATCTGACTTTCTTTTTATAATATCTAAATACTCTTTAAGCTATAAATCTTGGAATGATATATTATACTATTGGATATTAATTGATATAATAAGGCCTTATTTTTGAACAATTTTTTGTATGCTATTATTAAAGTGTTATATATCTTCCAAGATAATATGCTATATTGTATTCTG